TCAAGCAAACCTAAGCGTTTTTCATTGGTATGTAACTGCCGATTCTTGTAATTCCCAGTCCCTTTAGATTTTTAATTTTAAAGTCAAATGTAAGATTTTCGTACTTTTTAAATATTTAAAGCACATTTGTAAATTCACATGTATTTCACCACTTGGGTGCCATTTTTGAATACTTTTAATAAACCTTCTATCAATCGAGACGGAGAGCTTGATTCTGATGGAAAGACAGAGACTAAAATTAATATACACTAAAAGCAGTCCCTCTGCTCAGTGCGAATCCTTTATTACTCAATGCAAGTCTGTAAATATCAAAGAAAATGATGTCTCCATATTCTCGTTCCTACAGCCATTCGGCTGCTCTAGCGACGCGACCAAAAGAAAAAGGAATCTGGAAACGAGAACGAGGTCCCAGGTCTGCAATGCGTGAATTTTAAGGAGCGCGCGAACTTTAAGGTGCGCGAGATTATTTCCACGCACCTAATGTCCTTGCGCCCACAACACAGTTTGTTTTTGTTCTTATTTTTTACGATGCCAATCTCTACTGACTCACGCAACAAAATGCGCCGGTTACGATTGTTTCATGGCCTAAAATCCTAAAATTCTACACAAATCGATTCGGCTCATAACATTTCACAGTTAATCAGACCATGGAATTTATTTTGCAGAATTTTCAAACTTACCGCTACATGAACAGTAATGCCATAATTAAATCTCAATAAATGGGTGCAGTTTACAAGGAAGTGCCAAGAAGTGCCCACAAAAGGATTTACATGGTGTAAAACTTCAAACTATTTTGGTTGTAATAAATGCAGCTATTTGGGAGCTGTTGTCTAAACTTTGATTTTTAATGTTACTTACCCGAAAACCTGTAAAACATCAATTAAAACATAGCGCGAGCGTGCTTCCTGATAGGGCCGCGTTCACATGCACTTGGTCTCCAGGCATTAGTGCCAGAGCACCGGCACAAAGTGGTGCTGTGTTAAGACACTGGGTACCTGATATATCAATGCCTGGTTCAGTGCCCGTGTACAAGGTTAAGACCATGTACTTGGGAACGGCCACAGTGTCCGAATACTGGGGTGGGTACTTGAATAAAAGGTGTGTTCACATCAGTGTCCATCAAGAATCGTACTCGGGCACCGTTGCTAGAGCACCAAGTGTGAACACAGCCTAAGGTATTCCATGCCAATCCATACATGCCAATGACGTCAACAAACAATGCCTCGAGGCTGAAAATTTCCCTCCACGATTGATCTGTAATGATAGCGAACTTCCCGACCAGTTTAACTCGTCGCGAGTTTTGAGATTTTCAAGGGGTTTAATTTTCCGCTCCAACGCGATTGAGATAGGCTTCTAGGTGCTCTAAATGAAGAGATCTAGGGAATTGATTTCGAAACCAGTGGTCTTTAACGCCTTCAAAGCGACGGAAGGAGCATCGGGTGAACAGTTTGGGAACATGGAAACGAGAAAAACATTGCCATGTTCCCACCAATAACGTAGCTCCATTCTCTGCCTTTAAAAGCACACACAACCCACAATTCCTCTATTCGCTCCGACGAAGGGCTAACGCTCGAAACGTCAGCTTTTGTAATCGTTACGGTGGCCAATTTACCACTTCGACTTTGTTGATATATCCAAATTATTTCGTTACTCCCACCGACGCAGCCCCAAACAGTCTCTTTCGAAACTATCAGTCTTTATTCATTATTATAAGAAAACTTACAAAATTCAGATAGCTGGCAAACACATATTAAATAAAAGACAATTACATTTACTTGCTGTTTTAGTTCAACTATGCACAACCCTGATCTAAAGATCAATTCTCCAAACTGTTTGCCACACATTTCATATAGTTTTAGACCTGAGAAATTTGTGTGAAATCAAACAGTACATTTCTGCTTAAAAATGTATCGACATTGTTGGGGAAAATGCATATTTTGTTACTCCTGTTAATCACTAAGGTCTAGAATTAAGTTAAATAATTTGCTCACATCAATTTCTAAGTATTCTCATTTCCTAAACAATTAGGAAAACCATATTGATGTCCTTTTGCCAATTGTTTTCTCTACGGAGTAAATATTGGTCAGGAGCAATTTGATAAAACACTGAAACAATTGCTACAATAATGTCTCCTTAATAGAAAGTTATATGAATATGCTCAATTCGAGAGGCCTAGATACATCAATTTTATATGATTTACAAGAGAGCAATAATTATCCACTTGACATACATCCAAAGCAAGGTGTTCCTCCTCTTACTTCTTAATAAAGATATTAACTTCTTATTAACTTTGCAGCACTGCAGTGCGTGCCTGCAATACCTAAATGATATCAACTCTAATCGCATCATTAAAAAAAATCTCACATTCTAATTGGTTAACAAAGTGAGCTATTTAGTGTGGAAATGTGAGTTGAAAACGAGGCTAAGTGATATTTTTTTGCATCTACATATACATTCAATGTGATTGGAGGAAAATTCATTACTTGACTTGTTAATTCTACATTAAACTGCTCTTGAAAACCAATATCGCACTCGTCACTTTTCGATTCATGTGATATTGGTTTTTGCATGCAATTAAATGCAGAATTCCCTTATCAAGTAATGAATTTTACTATAGTACGTATATCGTATTTCTGTTTCATGCGTGTTCTAATTCACTTCCTAAATATAACCCTTGATTTTCCCTTCCAAAGAATTTGTTATTGAGTTCAGCAATAAGACCTAATTGATAGTTTTATCATTGGTCACATCACCTTTACACGACAAAAAGGACTGACAATGCATGAACCATAGCCTGCAGTGCAGGCGGATTTTAGGGGGGCGAGTAGATGTTCAGGCCGCCATCTTGGATTAGAAAAACAGTGGAGAGTTAGGGCAAGGTAAAACGTTTGGGGAAGGAGAGAGCGGGAGGGGAAAGAAAAAATGGGGAGGGTGAGGGGGAGGGGAAAGAAAGAACCCTTTCTCCTCCCCCCTTCCTCAGACGTTTTACCTCGCCCCAACTCTCCACTGTTTTTCTAATTCAAGATGGTGGCTTGAACAACTGATAGGAATATCTACTCGCCCTGCCAAAATCCGCCTGCACTGCAGGCTACATGAACCCCTCCTTGGACCAAGAAAGATCACCAAAAAATATATATATCATCCATATTGTGGCCGAAAATATTACCTCTATTTATTAGTACTCTACCAAAGGGTAGAGCTTAGATTGATCCCTAACAAGGTTTCCAATGTAAAGTACAGAGCTTTCTCTATGTAAGGGTTGGAGCTGCGCAAATCAAAATGGTTGTTAAAACGCCCTCCCTAAATCAGAAACACCTCTGAACAGACAATTTCCTAAAGAGAAGACACCTGATAAATCAAAATTAAATCATGCTTCAAACATGAATTCAGTTTTCTAGCAAGTCTGCAAACCAGTGCAACATCAAAAGAGATATTCCTCCAAGAGGTAAGTTACGATGAGATAGGTTGGTTGTTGAGCTTTTCACTGTCCACTTTTTTTCTTCTGGTGGGGATACTTCTTTCAAATCAATAGGAAATAAACTGTCACGGGCAAGACACCAGTCATCAACATCTGTGGCAGAAAATATCAGTAATTTAAGTTGGACATAATTCAAGAGTTAAAGAACAAAGTCCAGTGGAAAAATAGAAATTTTACTTCTTTGTGAAACTTCTAACTTGAAGGAAAATTTAAACTTTCCTTGCTCTTAAGTTGGCTGAACACAGTTTTCGCGTGCGCTTTTGCTGATGCAATTCAGCATGCGCACAAGGATTGTACAGAACAAGCATGCCGTCAATAGAGTGGTCATTTTATTTACTCAACATGTACCCACACTATCTATACTATTTTTCTCTATAGTTGGCGCAGTGTATTGAAGGTTTTAATCTTTTATTTCAAAGATATGTTAGAAAAGTTAACGGTGCAAAGAGCCCAGCAATTCTCAGCTTTTTCGTCGTTACTGAAAGAACCCCGTTAAATGCAGTGCATTCGTGGTAAGTCAAAAAATTGCGACTGCATGAATGGAAAATTGCTTTCTTGGAAATAATTATGCCTATTTCTTGAGAACCACTCATTAGAATTTCATGAAATTTGGCACGAAAATACTTTAGGAAATAAGTAACTGAAGTATTGAAAAAAAATTGATTTTAAACAAAGGAATTTCTAGAAAATCAGGTGAACCTTCAACAAGGGATAATTAAAGATTGAGCTAACCACCTCCTGGTTAGCTCAGTTGGTTAGAGCGCCGGATTGTGCGGGAGGTCGAGGGTTCGAGCCCCGGCCGGACCAATACTCATAGTCTTAAAATAAGTGAGGAGAATTTGCTACCTTTCTATAATCAAGAAATGGATAGATATTCTAGTCTTCTCGGATAAGGACGAATAAACCGTAGGCCCCGTCTCCTGCAGGGTTAGGGGTAGGAGACGTTAATTTCCCACGCACGAGATTACTGTGTGGTGGATGTCCTCCCCTGGGTGGGATGGGTGGGTGTTGGCCCTGAAAAGCCCCTATGGGGAGTGGTCAATTAACCTATGTATGTATGTATGTATGTAAAGATCTCTCTGTTAAATTGTTAGCAAAATGGTGTTAACTTGTGAGTATCGTTACAAGCTCGTTGCATACAAGTTATAAAGAAAACCTACTGACTAGATTTTCTACAAAGAAACAAAACCGATTTTAATTGCCTGTTTATATCTATTCATGTCGCCATGGCAATGGCACAAATGTCAGCTTAACTATAAAAAAAAAAAAACAAAGTTTGTGTTGTTAACTTGCTTGCTGCCAGTTTTGGTGACCNTACTCATAGTCTTAAAATAAGTGAGGAGAATTTGCTACCTTTCTATAATCAAGAAATGGATAGATATTCTAGTCTTCTCGGATAAGGACGAATAAACCGTAGGCCCCGTCTCCTGCAGGGTTAGGGGTAGGAGACGTTAATTTCCCACGCACGAGATTACTGTGTGGTGGATGTCCTCCCCTGGGTGGGATGGGTGGGAATTGGCCC